GTCTACATACACAGTTACACACTCGCGGCAAGGTCGGGACAGCTGTACCCAGCGGAAAGTTCAAAGTATCAGCTCAAGGTTGAGTTGCATGCAGCGCCAAACGGTTTACAGCTTATATATATACATATATATATATGCATGTATATAGGCGGTGCCTGTGTGTGTGTGTGTGGTGCAATGGGTCAATTCAGAGGTCACTGACTCGAGGGTCTGCTCTGAAGTTCGCGGTATCAAAAGAATTAATATTTCACCTGCCCATGCATTATTATTATTATTTTTAATGTTTTAATATTGAAATTATATATCAAATCGATGTAATATAACAAAATAAAACTTATCGCATATCTCAAATTGAGCGCGCTGAGTCATCGAACTCGTAATTTGTGTTTGGGGTCTATATGTAGATATATTTCTATATATGCATATATTTGTTTTCAATTCCCAAATGCTGAAAACAACAGAAAACAACACAACACAAACAAAAGTCAGCAAAATACGCGTAATTGGAGTTCTCCCAACTACCCACAAAAATAGGAAACTTGAGCAATTCGCAGAGCTCAACACATTTTTGGCACTTATAGCCAAATGTTGGGCGCATGTTAAAAAAGCAGCAAAAGAAGAAAATAGAGTCCAAAACATATCCGATTCCCAATCACGTTCAAGGTGAATGTTTGGCCATTTAAACTATAAACCGCCAACTAAGCGCATTTCACATTCAGCCAAACTTAAATATCAAATTTAGTTGTTTTTTTCTGTTTCATTCCTGATCTACGCATAATAAACTTAAACTATTTATTAACTGTTTTCTTTTTCCTTTTTGTTCAGTTGTTTTTTTGCATGGACAATTTGTTGATTAGTTGAGCGAAAAGAACAACAATGACTAAATTTGGCTGCTTGTTATCAGCCGCATGTCTAGTGGGGGTCTGTCAGTCATATGGGCCCTTGATAAGCGTTATCTGTTATTAGATTTGCATTTTCAAGTAGCGTCGAAGTCAATAAATTTAATTTGATAAGATTTAAATATACAAACTTGACCTAAATGCGCAATTTGATTTCCATGCAGCAAGCATGGCAATGAGTCAATATACGCTAGCTGTATACATGACCATATAGGGGTATATATATATATATACCATATACTATATACTATATATAAATCGCACTTATGTACTTTCACTTTCATTCGCAGCGCATGCGTCGTTTCCATTTTCGAATTTTCTCTTTCATTTGACTCCTGTTTTCATTTTTTTCTTTTTATTTGGAAGGACCACGTCACGTTTCTTTATTTTGGGTTGTTCTGCGTGATTTTTGCCACAGATTGTGTGCTCTTTTTAACTTGAGGTTGGTCGTTGGCTGGCTATCCACAAAGGCTTGCCTAATGCGTACTTAACATTTCGATTTCGATTTCCATTTCCTTTCTAATTTCACTGTTAATGCAGTATATAATTATATGTATATATATAGTTCAGATTGCCGTTCAATTGTTGTGCATGTCGCTGCTTGAGGTCACTCAATAATATTTAAGTAGTGTTCATTACGCTGATGGCCACGCCATGTCTGACATGTAAGCAACAAGAAGAACAGCAACAACAACAGTAGCAGCAACGATAACAGTCCACCCACGGACCTCCCACAAATGCCGCTGGTCTGTTAGTTTTAACAGCGCACTGTTAACGGACAGCATCCTCTCAATGTTATCCCGTTTACTCTCTCCCACACCGAACACACTGTGCTGTTTGTGCGTACGCTCTGCTGCTGGGGTTCGCTCTCTTCGGTCAGCACTTGTTTACACATTGCACGTGCACATTAGTTTCCATCGTTTTCTTTCATTCTCAGTCTGCGCTGACATTTTTCGACAAGCGGTTGTGTGTGTCTACACTGCAAATGTGTGTGGCTATTTGCGTGTGCGTCTCTCAATATTTCGCATTAATTTACTCAAATTTTTGATTACAATTGCGATGTAGTTGCCCGTTGAATGGAGACAGGGAGAGAGTAGGGCAGAGAGCGGATGGAAGGGAGGTAGGCGCTGGTTAGGTGCAACTTAACCTCAATTGAACTTACGCTCGATTGCGCAAACATTTTATCAGCTCTGCGAGCGTCTCAAAGAGCGTAATCAATAATCGTAATTATAAAGTGCCTTTCATGTTGCTTTTATTTATCACTTGTTTCTTACGCTCTGTCGTTTTGATAATAAAAATAGAACTTTGCTTTTGCCTGCTAGTCTTGTTCTTTCCTTTTATGCGATAAAGCTTATTTAAATTGAAGCAGCGGAGCATTCTTAAAGCACACTCTATCAGCCTTGAGGGAGGGAGTGGGTGAGCAAATGCTATTTATTGCATTATGGGATCACTCAATTTCCCCAAGTGCGTAGGTCATGAGAGTGGGCGCGTCGCAGGCGACAAACTTGTCGCAAGTGAAATGTGATTTGTATAAAAATATAAATAAATGTTTAGCATATGGGGGAGGATCAAGTGACTGAAATGTGTCAAGCCATAGAATATTTTCAACAACAATAGCAACAATGGCAGCTGCAACAAAATAATAAAATAAAAGCTAGACGCGCATTGACACTGTGGCAATGTGTGGGTGGTTGGGTGGTTTGAACTATTTCAAGTGCATGTTGCGCAGTCGCTGCGTTTGCATTTTGCAGTGCTGTGCTGTGCAGTCTGTTAAATCACTTAACAGTCGTTGGCGAATGTTTGTGCTGGCTACTGTAAGGCAAATGTAATAATAACTTGCTCAAATAGCAAAGCAAAAGTGCTTCAAAGCACACACTTTTAAAAATAATAACGCGGCAAACAAAACAAAACAAAATAAAACAAAATACAGTCATCGACGTCGACGTCGACGTCGTCTGCAGCTTTGACTTAATTTAAGTGCGTTCAACTTGACGACGTTTTTTAAAGCGATATAGTGCGAGAGAGAGAGAGAGAGCAAAAAGCACAAAGCTCTATGACAAGTGCAAGTGCAAGCAACAATCAGAACAAACAACAACAATTGATGTGCTTTTCATTTTGCAGTGCAAGGATTATGTGACTTTAAACCAGAACAGAAGAAAAGAGAAATAAATAAGTATAATTTGACAAAGGCGTTAGCTGCAAATACAGCAACAACAACAGCAACAACAACAGCAACAACAACAGTGACGACGACAACAACAACAGCAATATTTGCCCTACACTGCCTCATAAAAGTGTAACAACGGCAACGAAATGCATGGCATAACTCATCTTTATCGGCAACACGCCGTGGATAAGCAATTGAGCGGAGGCAGCAGCACCGACAGCTGGCAGCAGCCAGCGAATGGACGCAACTCGTATGAGATGAACTCCTCGCTACAGTACAGAATGGACTCCTCGAACAGCTCCAGCAGCAATTCGAATAACTCCAACAACTCGACCCACTCCACGCTGGGCGGAGTGACGGGTAGCGCCTACTCCAACTGGCAAACGGAGCGACAGGGTCACTCCCAGCCTCAGGCAGTACCTAATGCCCCAAAATCGCTGGCGAATCATCCTCAGTTGCCATACGGCAACTCACCCACACACCAGGCAAACGGAGGCGGGGGGCAGCGCAGTTCCTATGACAGCTGCTACACCAGCGGATCGACGGGCATCAGTGGCAGCCTGAGGCGGACGCCCTCCTCGAGGCGCAGTTTCTTCGAACAATGCCACAGTCCGTCCATCTTTGGAGTAAGCAGTTCCCCAACGACAAACACCTGACCAGTTGCATATGAATTCCCCCATGGATGCACTACAGCACTCGATAGATAAACCAGCTAATATTTATCGATAAAGTAATGTAAATCACATTAGTTCAAATTGGATTTGGCTAGTGAAAGTTTGGTTAGAGATGTCAAAACTAGAATTTAGATTACTTATCTTTCTGTTCAGCACACATCAATTAGAGTAACTTCAATCATCGCCACTTGGACTTCATAGCTGTTAGTTGGTTTAGTGAGATAACAACCGATAATTGATAGTATTTCTGTAGATTCGTCTAGTAAAAATACACTTTTATGGGCAAAAAACTTGAATAACCCTCAACTCTGTGCGAGTGCTGTAGTCCATCCGAGTGTCTATGCAACGAGTCTGCCTCAGAGTCTCAGAATTGGTCCCTAATTGCACACAAATTGCTTGCAGAGCATGCGGCGTGGCGCTCCCGACTTTGGTTCGCCGCCACCAACGCAACCATCGGGCGGTTACTTTCCACACGATCTCGACGACATCTGTGAGACGCATGCGGATCATCAGTATTTCACGCATACCGGCGCCAGTGGACAGCGGGGCTCTGATCGACCCACCGCCGTATCGATATTTACGCGGGTAAATGCCGCAGCGTGCTCAATGGACGACTACAGTTTCGGTGGATCGCGTCAGTGCGCCGCTAGCATGGACAGCGGTGGTTTGACGGTGCCCTATGCACGGCATCGCTTCGACAACTCGTCGTTCGTCAAGAGTCTCAGCATTGACGAACAGGATTCGGGACAGTCTGGAAACGAACAGAGTCAGGGGCATTCTGGGCGCGGACACAGTCCGTCGCCGCATAAGGAGGGCCATCATAAGCACAAGGGAGGACACCATCATCATCATCACCATCATCACTCCATACAGGAGATGCTAAAGCATTTTGGCAAGAAGATTCATGTGTGGCCACGAAAACATACTGATGCACAAAGTGTTTGCACCTCGCCGCAAAATGATCCGCAGGAGAATTTCCGCACACGCTCCAAGAGTCTCGATGTCAACACACTCAACCGACCCAATCGCATTTTGGCGGATTGCGGCGAGACCTATAAGGTCTTCGACCGTATTGTCAAAGAAGGTAAAATGCAACAATCAAATCGGTTGTTGGTTCTCTGGGACTTGCTCTTCCTCATTTCTTTTTTCCATAAAAGTCTGATACTTGCTGTTTCAGTTTAGTTTAGCCTTAGTTTTAGTCCTAAATATCTGTTCAGGATTAACTTTACTAACATTTATAATTCTCCTCTATTTGATTAGGTGCTCACATGCGTCGCGCTTCGGCGGATTTGGAGAAACGACGCGCTTCAGTTGGTGCCGCTGGTCGCAGCTATCGCGGCGATGGCACCCTAGATCCACATCATGCAGCCATACTCTTCAGAGACTCCAGAGGTGTAAGTAGTTCCACAATTAACCATATTAAGCATAAAACAAAAAAATACTTTAAAAGTGGCGCCTTGCTGCTTATTTTTACCATAAGCGACTCTATTTCTCATAACAAATTCCATTAAGATATTTGAAAGCCTACACTCTTGTTAAGTTTTCAAATAGTTTGGGGAAAAAAAGTCATATTGATTTCACAGACAGAATTACACCAATTATTTATGCTCACAGCCAATTCCCTTGAGGGTTTTCCATTCCTCGGGCACTCAAACTGACATTGATAAATGATTTGAAGCAGCGTCCAATTATTTGCTTCTGCTTAGTATTGCCATTTGCCGTCGGTTGCATAATGTCTCTTCTGGGTCAGCCGCGAGTTTAGTTTTCTTCCAATTCTTGTTGCCTACCCCAACAATATATTAACTGTTTTTTTTTTTTAAGGAGCTTACGTTTCGTTTACTTTTTCTTTCTCGCCCTCGAGTATGCTACACTTTTTGCAGTTCTCTGTTAACATTGTTGTTTAGCAGCTGTTAAAGTAGCTTTAAATCGATTTCTTTTTTTTTTGTCAACTAATGCTGGTTGTGGTGTTTCCTGTTAATAATAATAAAATATGATTGGTTCAACAAGTTAGTCATCATTTCATTAGTTTGATCGTTTTAAGTGAGCGAGCCACTTCAATTTGCCAATTGGTCATTAAACCACAAATGCCTTGTTTTATGTTTTGTTAACGTAGCGGCAAGGTCAACGTAATTGGCTTAAATATTCTTACAACGCGTCGTTGTTTACAATATTTATTCACACTCCACAACGTGGTCATTAAGGCGGAACTGGTTTATTGCTTCTTACTAAAATGTATGAATCTAACCATTTACACTGGTTTTTGCACAAGTATTTTGTTTATACCAGAACCTGAAGCAATCTAAAAACCATTTTGATAATGCCTTATGCAAAGGACGGGCACATAATAAAAATTGTTGTAAAAAGATCTTAGATTAGATTAGAATTACGATTATAATTTAAATTCGGTAGATTCTTAGTTTCAATTACGGTATATAACCCTCCCTCTCTCTCTCTCTATCTCACTTACTCTTTGCGCGAGCTGGAAGTCCCGCATATCTTAATAGACACCTGCTGACTGCTATTGCTCCTGCTAATAATGATTAATTAGCGCACACATTTCACATAAAAATCATTTCATTGCCTAATGCGTAGACGTCGACTGCATAAAATACAATTTACGTACTCTCCCTCAGTGTTTTTCTCTCCTACTCGCGACATTCAATTGGGGCCCACAATCTATGGCACAGTTTACTTTGTTTATCAGTCCGCAACTCGAGTAAATTTACAAAAGAAGCTTTCCACTGTGAATGTAGCTGGTGCTGCTGCTGCTGCTGTGGCCTTCTCTCTCTCACTCACTCACTCACTCTCGGGCTGTTATGACGCTGTTAGCAGTCGCCCACAGCTTATCCAAAATGCGGGTGAGCACTTAGCACTTAGCACTTGGCACAGAGACTTACTCTTCGATTTGCTCTCTCGATCTCTCTCTCTCTCTCGCTGTACATTTTTGTTTGTTTTGCTGAAGAAGCTTCAAGAATGCGAACAAACGAATGCCTTGCATTATTTTGTTTGTTTTTTTTTGACTTTTTATACACTTGCCAAGGCAGAGCATGTTCTTATCGCAATGCAACTGGCAACTGCAAGTTGAGCAGCGCAGTTGTACTAAAAGTTAATTATAGAATATACTAATCGCTGCTTGCTCCATAAACTTCTTTATTATCGAGCAAATATACAAATAATATGTAAACAATTTTAACTATTTAACACCAACTAGCAGCAGCCTTTTGTTTAGAGTGTTTAAATTTCGATACGCCATAGATTGGTCTCTCTTTTTCCCCCCTAAGTGTGTGAGTCTGTATGTGCGTTTGTGTGTGTGTGTTTGCTTAAGCTTTAGCACTCGCAGTCACACACGCACACATGTGACGACGATCATATGGCGGGCAAAGCTCAACAAAACTGTTAACCAGTTTACGTTTACATTTGGGAGCGCGCAGACGTGCCCGGAACAGAGAAACAACAAACGTTGAGAATAGCAAACAGAAAAGCCAACGGCCGCTTGCAAATTTTTCATCATCTACGCATTGTTGCCATTACACACGCCAGTGTTTATCAGTGCATGCGTGTGTGTGTGCGTGTGTATGTGCGTATATATGTATATACATATATATGCTATATATAGTTTAGTGTGTGTGTGTTGTGTATTTACACATGTATCGCCGTCGCTATTCCGCCTTTGAGTCGAGCACGCCTCGCATTGGCGTACTGCCCTCAGCAGCGACTGCAAATGCGAATCCGAATCCGAGTGCGAATGCGAATGCGTCAGGTGTGTCACAGCAGACAGCTTCCAAATTGCGACAAAGCAGCAACAACAATAATGGAAACAAATTAAGCGTGCGCTTTGACCCAAATCTGCCCGATAATAATAATGACAGCAACAACAACAATAACAACAACAACAACAATTGCGAGAGCAACTACAACTATGACAGTTTACATGCGAAGGTTGCCCGCAAGGCGCGCTCTCTCAGTAATTCGCCGCTGTATCGCAAGAAGCGCTCCAGTAATTTGCCCACGCTGCTGTCGAATAACAGCAGTCGAACGGCCAACACGAACTATCAGCTGCTGAATAGCGCGAATATAACAGATATCGTTGATGGTCAACGCTATTCGCAGCACGTCAGCAGACGCGATGACAACATCGGCTACATCAGCACCACAACAACAGCAGCAACAACAACAACAGAAACTAAAGTTAAGCAAAAAGATGGCAGAAAACTTTCAGCAACGCTGTCAGCGGCGATGCCGGCAGCGTTGCTACGACGCAAGGCAACAACAAGCAGCATCAACAATAACAACAATCATCAACAGCAACAGCAGCAGCAGCAGGAGAAACAAGCATCGCAACAACAACACAACAACAACAAGAGCATTGCAAATGGTTTGGTGGCAGGCAAACGTCTATCCGTAGGTCATTCACCGGCAGCAGCCCAGAGCGAACTGGCGATTGCCAGTGGACTGCAACAGTCGCTTGTCTATCAGCGACGCACACAGAGCACCCACAACTCCCCCCGACACTCGTCGCCCGCTGCCGTTCATCAGTGTCTGTTGCTGCGGCGTCGAAGCGACTACAGCATCGAGCAGATCGAGCAATGGAAGCGACAACAGCAGCAACAACAGCAACTGCAGCCAGGCCGAAAAGTTAGCGTAAGTGAAGAAGAAGAAGTAGAAGAAGAGAGCGCAGCGATGCACAAGGGAAATTATTAACAGTTAAACATTTTATTCTCTTGCAGAGGGGTATTTTACACTCACCAAATATATGCAAATTACATTTAGGATGAAATTTAATTGCTGGCTGAAAGAATGTGTATATTTATCGGCGTGACTAAGATAATCCCATTTCTCCTGTTATACTTCTGGGGAATTTCACACTAAGAGAGAGAGAGAGAGTGCTGCAGAGATTCTCAGATATTGTTGTGAATTAAGCTTTTTGGGTTTGTTGTCTTGTATTAAAATGCAATTTTTAGGCTTTTTGCATCTTGCATTCAGCTTATTTTGCTTAACTAACAGCTTTGTCAGTTCATTGCCTTGACGCGTCTGTTGCATTTGGTCATTTTTAGCAGTCGACAAGTTCAAAAAAAATATATATATATATATATATATATATATATAGAGGGAGAGAGAGAGAGAGAGGGATCACTCTAACTCCATGTTTAATTGTTCGGGAAAACCTATGATCGCTCATTTTTTTCCCAAGTGCACTGCTAATTTGAAATAAGTCTCTTATTGTTTTGTATGCAACACGTAGAACGCATAGCAAAGTGTGAAAAAGAGAGCGAGAGAGAGACAGAGTGCGGGAAAGAAAGAGAGAGAGAAGATATTTATTCAAGTTTACACTATTTTTATTGCCTATTTACAATTAGGTGATTACACCTTAGACTAACTAACTGCCCACAGTCATGCACATATATATGTTTATATATATATATATATATAGATATGTATATCTGTATAATGCCTATCAGCTAAATTGAACTTGATGATATGAAAACATAACAATCATGACTTGACCTAAATATAAACACATTTTTGGACCCCGTCAATTGCAAATTGTACAAAAATTTTGTTGGCGGCTGCCTGCTGCATATTAAGTGTAATTTTGTATTATTGATGCATCCACTTATCAAATGATCATTCAAGTTATTTTTGAACCATTTATCTAATATACTTTTTCCACGTATCGTTTACGTAGTAAACGACGTACTTTCATTCTAAGGGTAAATTTGTTTATTTGGAAGCTTAACGTTTAATTAACGTTCATACTATATTCATATACCATATATGGCAACGTTATCTGATTTAGAGTCGTTTACTGAGGTACGCTTCTATTGTCGTAGCTTATTGTGGCGTAATCTCTCCAATAATATTTTATTTGCAGAGTGTAAATGTTTATGTTTATGTTTTGAGTCGAAACAAAGACGTATTTCTATAACGTAATTAATTATTACGGCAGCGACAATTTGACTAAATGACGTTAATTGCATCGTATATTATTTTATTATAAGCTTTGTTATATTATTTATTAATATACTCACTAATACTATGTCCCCCAATGGCAGTTACATCATTTAGTTATCAACAATGATTTATTTGCTAATTTCAGTTACCCCGTGCCGATCCTTTCTTGGACAAAGTCAATCTATCAGATTTCGGTAAGTAAACGAAACATTCCCAAAACGATCCCCCTTGCCAAAGAGTGGGATGGTTGGGGGACACTGTTAAACTAAATTCAAATATCGTTCAAATAAATTAGCAGTCACACTTGGCAACCGATCAAGTGGCCAACGAGATAATTCTTTTTTTTTTCTTTTTTTTTTGTGTTGGGCACACGTCGCTTTAGCACATTTGAATAGAAACGTACCGAAACCTATATTTAAATAAATATATATGTATACGCATAATTTATACACTTTAATAAAATTATATATCAGAAGGATTAAGTTTATAGAATTTGCGTAGGTGCCCAGTGACAAGAACAAGAACATTATACTAAAGTTATAAAGCTTCCCATATACATACATATAGATAGATAAACATGTTCAGATAATATGTATGCGCAGTGTATGTTTGGATATTTATATACTATACTATACTACATAGATGGACCCCCATTAGTGATGCGTATCTAGTTGACGTAGTTGCCAAACACACCTCCACATTTTGGTTTCATTTGCGCTAATTATAAGACGCCAAGCCAAGCCAAGTACACCCAAAACTAATGTATAATATACACCGCATATGCATAGACATTCTCTACATTTCTCTCTCACTGTCTCTCAATGTCTCTATCTCGTATTCTCTCTGATTTTGCAGTTGCATGTTTTGGCCTGTAGAAATACATGCAATTTGGTGCCACTTCGGGGCATTTCATGAGGATCATTAGCGTCAATATGACTTCTGTTTCAGATTTGCCTTTATAGATTAGCGAATTTGTTCCGCTATTTTCGGTTCTTTATTTCGGCACCAAGCGAGTTACGAGCGATTTAGAAATTGATTTTAAATAAATACACACATAGAGACACACACCTACATAAAGAGGCGCCTTCTTCTCTCAGTCTCAGTCTTTGCATAGTATTTAATATTTGCGGGCACCACTTGCCAACAGCAGGGTATTATGATTTACTACATACCCTAAGATACAGATTGCAGACTTGAGTCAATAGTCGCTCAACTTCCAAGCTACCATCTCTAGGTAAAAATTTTGATATTTATCAAGGCAAACAAATACAAGTTTTTTGATGCTGACATGTTTAGTTATAGCTTAAAATGTAGTTGCAAGAGTATTTAGACTTCGGCCACACATAAATAGTAAGTTTTTCTTTCTTGTTTGTTTGTTTTGTTTTGCGCTTTGGCAAAAAAGTTTTGCGCTTTTCCTCCGACCAGTGGGAAAAGTGAAATATACAAAAACACAGCAACCAGACTATAGAATCAGTTTATGATAAAATCTCGAGACGTTTAGACGGGCGAAAAATAAACAAGCAGAAACGATCGCCGCGCTAAACCGAAATATATAGCCAAATAGATTATAGCCCTAAAGCAAAAAAAAAGACAAATTAAATAGAGTCGAAATATTGATATATTAACTAACGATCGGTCCAACTTTAAAGTGCAGTTGAAGGTCTCCCAATGCTCCAACAGAAACACACCCCTGCCCCCGCGAAAGTCATTAGTCATTGTAGAAGAATTTGAAAAGAAAATCGTCTATAGATTCTATAGATTCACTGAGGCGCCTCGACGCCAGCAGTCAGAAGCCAGCAGCCACAATTGAAATTGTTTTGCAATTGCTCAAAAGCAAAAACAAAAACAAAAAATCGACAAGAAATAAAAAAGAACTCTTAGCATCTTAATTAACTTGTGTGCGCGACGCGCTTAATCAAAAACAAAAGAAATAACAACAGCAACAACAACAAAACACATATCCAATAAAAAGAGAAACCAATCAGAACAGCAACAACAACAAAAACAAATGAGATTTAAAGATATATGCATATAGATATACAAATATATATATATAAAGTGTGTGTATTACACACTTTGAAATTGTTTGTGGGAACAGCCTTCACCTTTTTGCAACTGCGGCTGCTGCTGCTTTAGTTTTCAAACTCTGTTGAACTCAATTTAATAGTTTTGATTTTAAATTTAGAAAACGAACATATTTCTTGAGACACGTAGTTGATATTTTAATTCTTTTAACTTTTATTTCTTATTTCTTTTCTATTTTGTATTTCTTTTTGTTGTTGTTTTTTTTTTTTATGGTAGCCTTCGCTTTTTATTTAGATATTTCTTCTTCTGTCTTTTTGGCATCTCTGTCAACGTGGACAGCGCACAATTTGTTAAAAATAAAAAATAAAGTGTGTAGGAGCTAAAATTATGAAGCAGATTAAGACGAAAACAATTTATGAGTCGTTCTAAACAAATTGGCAATTGGATTAGCAGCAGCAATGGGAACTTTAGCAAAGTTTAGCCAAATATTCGAATTAATTTAAAATAAAAATTATCTTACTCAACGAGTTCTCGATCCATGTCGACAAATTATAAAATATTACATTTTCGAAATATTTAGTTTACCTTACCTTTTTCATTTGCCATAAATTATAAATCTGAACGCGTGTCCCTAGAGAAAGAGGCAAATAATGAGAAATTTGCTAGAGGTGGTGCTGTTTAATTAATTTCTTGGCACAAATTTCGCATAATGTTCTCTAAAAGGCGCTAAGACAAACCAAGAAGACAATGCAGAATAATAATAACATAATTATTATTCTTTTTTCTTTTCTTTTTTTTTCGGAACTTTGTTTCTGCATTTATCTGTCGCTGATGGGCATATAAATTGTTTGGCGGTGGCCCGACATAAATTTGATTAACGTCCATCTGAGCGCCTCAATGTTTAATTGAGAGCGTCAGACAGCGTTTTGATTCAAAGAATTTATGGCTGAATAATTGTTGACCATCAACTATTTTCTGCGCTCGTCAATTTGTTGCTGAGTTTGACTTGGCCGTTCTTGTTGTTTTTGTTGTTGTTTCTATTGCCATTTGTATTGGTTCGTTCTCGCCACAACCCACTTTTATTTCGACGCCAAATTTCTGTTAATTAAAGTGTCTAAATGTGTAATTTATTGAATATAGACTAATAATCATATTTATGGCGATGTTGCTAATACTGAATAACAAATAGTATCAACAAAAGAGAGGACAAATATTTCGCAGTTGCGTTGCACTCGCCTTCAATTTACCACCTTACTTTGCCCCCAAACAGTGAGAAGGGCGTGCAAAGGCGTGTCGCTGCTAGGCCGCTGTTAGTTGACTGTTAAGCGTCTGTTAGCCGAGGACAGTGATTCAATTAGTCGTTCAATTAGAGCGCTACGAAATCGAATCAAAATCAATATCGAAGCGTTTGTTAGTTTGTTATCGAAGTCGGTTAATTGCGAGCATCATCCATAGAGCTGATGCTGCTGCTGCCTCGCTGTGGCTGATTCCAAGCCCCCCGCCAGCCCGCGCAGCCGACCAGCTGCTGCTCGCATGTTACAGCTGCACTTCTACTCGAATCATGCGGGCCGCTTGGTCCTCGGCGGCAGTGGCCGGCCCACAGAAGTGCTCTACTATCCGCTCGAGAGCATCAAGGAATTCGAGCAGGTCTCCGACGGCTGGAAGCGTCTGCTTGCCCAGCTCCTCAAAAAAGGTGCTGCGAACTCCATTGAAGCCATATATATATATATTATTAGCCTTTTGAGTCTTAAGCATTGGATGGATATATGATATAATTGAAAACTCAATTTACTCCAAGTCTGAATTAAATTCTTTTGTTTTCTTGTGCCTTGCAGAGGAGGATGATTCACAGATCTTTGTGAAGTTCTTTCGTTTCCACAAGAGCTATGATCTGATACCCACCTCCGCCAAATTGGTCGTCTTTGACACCCAGCTGCTGGTGAAGAAGGCCTTCTATGCACTGGTCTATAATGGTGTGCGTGCAGCCCCGCTCTGGGACTCGGAGAAGCAACAGTTTGTGGGCATGCTGACCATTACGGACTTTATCAAGATCTTGCAAATGTATTATAAGTCACCCAATGCGTCCATGGAGCAGCTGGAGGAGCACAAATTGGACACGTGGCGCAGTAAGTATTTATTTGCATATCTGCCTGCCATACATCTCTATTACAAATATTTTCTTTCCTGATTCTGTAGGTGTGCTACACAAAGAGGTGATGCCTTTGGTCAGCATCGGACCCGACGCTTCCCTTTACGATGCCATCAAAATTCTCATCCACAGCCGCATTCATCGACTGCCTGTGATAAATCCCGAGAATGGCAATGTTTTGTACATATTGACACATAAACGCATACTGAGGTTCCTGTTTTTATATGTGAGTAAACAGACAGGCAGATTTGCATGGCATAAATATGTATATTGGATTTTCAATAATTTGAATAACGACCTTTGCAGATTAATGCATTACCAAAGCCCGCATATATGGAGAAGAGTTTACGCGATCTGAAGATTGGCACGTACGACAACATCGAGACAGCCGATGAGAGCACAAGCATCATCACGGCACTCAAGAAGTTTGTGGAGAGACGCGTCTCCGCCCTGCCACTGGTCGATTCCGAAGGCCGCCTCGTTGACATTTATGCCAAGTTTGATGTGATTGTGAGTGTAGATTGAGCACGAGACTAGCAAGTAGATCACAATCTAATGTTTTACATATTCTTCTCACAGAATCTCGCTGCCGAGAAGACCTACAACGATCTCGATGTCTCGCTGCGCAAGGCGAACGAGCATCGCAACGAGTGGTTCGAGGGTGTGCAAAAGTGCAATCTGGACGAATCGCTCTACACAATTATGGAGCGCATTGTGCGCGCCGAGGTGCATCGCCTTGTTGTTGTCGATGATCAGCGCAAAGTGATTGGCATCATTTCCCTATCGGACATATTGCTCTATCTGGTGCTGCGGCCCAGTGGTGAGGGTGTTGGCGTCTCCGAGAGTTCGCTGCGTGCCTCTGATCCGGTGCTGTTGCGCAAAGTTGAAGCGGAGGCGACGGCAACGACGACGACGGCGCCGCCGCGCAGTCCATCGGCAGTTAGTTCTGGCAATCGTAGCTTTATCGAGGATATACCCGAGGAGGAGACAGCAACAACAACAGCGCCGGCGGCACCAGGTGCAGCAGCGGCAACGGGTGCGCCTAAGAGCGATGCTGATAGTGATAATAATAAATCCGCCAGTGAAGACAAAGCCAACAATAATAATAATAATAATACTGATAATGATCAGAATGAGCTGGCGGCGGCCATCAATGGTGATAGTAATAACAGTCCAGCCGAAGTGTCCTTTGCCGATGAGGCGCAAGCCGATGACGACGATGATGATGATGATGCGGATGCGGATGCGGATGATGACGACGATGATGATGATGATCTGCATGAGGATCGTGAATTGCAGCGCAAAAAGGCAGCAGCTGTCGCAATTGCAGCGGCAGCGCGAGACGGCAACGATGCTGAGCACGAGGACAATGGGCTGAGCAGCGCCGTTTCGGCTGCCTCGGCGCTCGGCCAGACGATGGCCACGCCCACGGCGCGCGAAATGGCGCTGGTTAGTGAATAAATAATTTAAATTAATTAAACAATAAAGCAAAACAAAAACCAACCCAAAAACACACATTTTAAGAGCGACAGAAACAACAATAATGAATTGCAAAGATAAAAAAAAAAAACAAAATTATATTTGAATATTATTAGTTGTTAGGCGCAAAAGTTATTATTATATTCGAGGAGATATGATTACAATTATAAACTATTAATTATGATTATGATTATGTATTTTACAAATCGCAACTAAAAACACAACAACACACACACCTGTTAACAAAAATGTTTATATATATTATATTTAAAAACAAAAAAAATCAACATTATATTAGCATGTCTTAAACATTTTAAATTATGTAATTGATTATTATATAGCATAGTACAAGTCATAAAAAAACTCCAGTTTGTTTCTATTTAATATTTTTGTATTTGAAAATTTGTGGGAAACGGGAAAGTGGGCGGCAAAGTAGCATTTTCAGGCAATTAGTCCATTTGAAATTGATACAAGCGGCGGTTTATGCCGATACTATTTGAATATCGATTACATTCGATATCAAATATGCGCTCATCACTACCAAAGATAAGCCAAGGCGCAAATGCTGAAAGGTGAAAGGAATTCAATGGAATCAGCTAAATTAATTGTACAAGAAAAGGCAAAAAATAAAAGTTACTTATAATTTGAGCCATTTCTAATATTGCTTTAATTGTCTAAGGCAAACTATATGTATAATTTCACAATAATATTGATAAGTGTTGGTAGTTGCAAGAGAAAGCATAATGCTGCCACATCGGGCAATAAATATTATCGATATCGATAATTAATCAACTTCCAAATCGCACGTGCATGTCCGATGAGCGTGTTTCTTGGTTTGTTTATGCGAACTTCCAGTTGGGCTTGGCAACAAAATGAACCATTTTGAAATACAGGACCTGCCCGGCAAGGGTCGGGCAATGATAGCAACGAAAAGTTTTGCCACCGATGAGATTATCTTCGAGGAGGAGCCATTCGTATCGCATCAGTTCTCGTGGAACACAGCCTACGGCTATGCAGCCTGTGATCATTGTATGCGACCGGTGAGTAATCCTCAAATCTGACAAATCTCTTGCTCACTTCACAATATTTTACTTCAGCTAGAGACATTGCTGGAGAACGTGCGACGCTTGGCCAATAACCAGGCGGTTGCTGTGCCGCTAGTGGAACACGATCCCACCGCTCTCTGGTTCCCACAGTTTACGCAGTGTGCACGCTGTAAGGTGCGCTACTGCTCTGAGGATTGCTTGGTTGAGGCACAGAAGCGATATCATCGCGTGGCTTGCATGGGCGCCTTTCGGGCGGACGATACACATCCGATTAATGTGCTGAATGAGACATGGAAGAAGATGCACTACCCGCCAGAGACGGGCACCATAATGCTAATTGTCCGGCTGATGGCCATGTATCAGCAGAGCAACAAAAAATCGGAATTTCTAGAGCAACTGCAATCATTTCAAGCCCTAATTGTTAATCGCGAACAGAAGATTTACCACAAGATGCTCGGCGAGAATTTTGAACGGCAAATGGAGCAACTTTATACGGCCTTTTGCAATGCATTCAAAAGCGAGGAGTTCGCTATGGCAAGTGACGGCTACCAACTATCATTATAAGTAGTAGCTCTAAGTAGTTTCTCTCTGATCTTTTACAGTTCACTACACCGGATGCATTCAAGACACTGATGGGCATTTTGGGTACAAATAGCCAGGGCATTGCCACCAGCGTGCTGGCCCAGTGGGTAACCAAAGTCTCCGAATTGCCGCTGCCAGATGCGGACAAAGAACAACTGGACACGGTCATTGATGAGCTCTACGCCAAAGTGGGTGATTGTAAGTAGCAACTGATCTCACGGGAAACGACCGTTAACATCTTGGCTTTTACAGTTGCTGGTGAATTTCTAAACAACGAGGGTTCCGGTTTGTACATCCTGCAGAGCAAGATCAATCACAGTTGCGTTCCAAATGCACAGTCCACGTTTCCCTACTCCAACGACATTGTCGTATTGAAGGCCGTGGCGCCCATTGAGAAAGGCGACGAGATTTGTATTTCCTATTTGGATGAGTGCCAGCTGGAGCGCAGTCGCCACTCCCGGCATAAAACACTGCGCGAGAACTATATATTCGTTTGTCAATGTCCCAAATGCAGAGCACAAGCCTCAGATCCAGATGTCACCAGCGACGAGGACGAGGATGACGACGACGAAGAAATGGATGACTGCGATGATGACATGGCCTAACTGCTCAGCATTTGATATGTTACTTCTATACCCCGTGATGGGGTAGTTATCTTTAATTAAAGCGATCTAACTCTAACTTTTATATAAGCATCGCATAATTTGTACATCAGATTTGGTTGAGCTTTAGATATTTTTGTGAAATGACCGTTTTTAGGCCATAACTCGGCCATAGCCAATCGAAAGGTATTGGAAAAGGGTTTTTCTATTCGCATTCATGGACTATACGGATGTCATTTGGACCTCAGATTGCCGATTGGGGTAAAGCAATAAAAAGGACGAAAATTCTGCAAACGGCTGAAATAAAATGAAATATTTTAAAACAGAAAATCGTTCGTAACTCGGCCATATCTTGGCAATCCTGGCGAGTTCTGTGTCAAACATTTCGTTTTGCATAGGGCTACAAACTTCCAACTTCGTCCCACTTCATCTTAATCTTATTTTAACGCTTAATTTGGGTTTTCGATTTGACCGATATACTATAAGTATATATTGCTATATTAACACCCTTCGACTATGTATATGTATAGGTAAGTAGGTAAATTACAAATGACTAACAAATCTTTTTAGGCGCCACCTTCGCTGGCTGTCACAGGCGTCAGATTGATCAAGTTATTGCTACTTTCCGCCAAGTCAGCAATGGAGACACGACCACGTTGCTTTATAAACTTGGCCACAGCGGCCAGTTCCGCCTCGGAAACGTAGATGAATTTGCCACGATCGTCGATGACGCCGGTTATGGTGTCTTCTGCCTGCAGCTCCTGGATTCGTTCAATGGCCTGTTGCGTTTTCAGTTTGAATGTTGTGGCCAAATCCTCCAGCAGAACAACTTTGTTGTCCTTGATGTACTGTATGAAATCAGCTTCCTTGTCATCGGCATCGTCTTCCTCGAAACCCTCCTCCTCAACGCTGAAGGTTGCCTTCATTTTCAGATACATCTCGTGCTCTTTGCGCTCGTGCAATTCCTTGACCACGCGCTCGGCCTCGACTCTCTTGCGCTCCACTTCCGCGTCAAGGTCGTCCTGCTGCTTGCGCTCCGCCTCCTCTTTGGCCTCTTTCACCTTGCGCTGTTCGCGATCGTGGAGCTCTTGCTCCCGCTGCAAACGCTTCTGCTCTTTAGCCTCCATTTTGGCTCGTTTTTTTGCGCCCATCTTCTCGTCTAGCACAGCACCCTGCGGCACACGCGGTCCATTTTCGTCACCATCTTCGTCGCCATCGGGATCAATGGCTGCGGCAGGTGCCGCTGCCACAGGAGCTACAGCATCTGGAGCATTTTGATTCGCTCGCAAGCGATTGCGCTGATTCCGCGCTATCTGGGCCCGTCTGGGAACACCTTCCTGAGCGCGCAGTGGGACGCCACGTTGTGGTTGCGCAGCTGCCTTTGTTTCTATTCGGGAAGTGTTATGTGCATGTTATAGCAAGATAAAAGTTGATATTGAATTAAATGTCCAACCTGCTGGTGCATTCCTTTTCTGCAGGAAATATAGCGTCAGCAGGATAATTAGCAACGCAGTTGCAATTCCTATTAGTAATATCAGGTCCATTTTTTGCTTAAAAATGCCAAAAAGTTAAACGTCAACAAATCGCACAGCTGATTTTCCAGCGTTGCCAGCTGGAAGCAAAGTGGTTTGTTTAGAGTGTATGTGTGCGGCAACTCTCGCGTTTATCAAATAAAATATTATCAATGTGGCCACAATTTCATACAAATTAAACAGCTTGCTCAGCTGTTTTGACAGCGTTGCCAACACGGGCTAGATTTGTTTGTTTGCGTGTAAATAATACTAGTGTGTGTTTGCCAAGTGGCAGCTCTCTCGCAGCTGTCAAATTGGAAATTGTCAATGTAGCCACTTTGCGTTTTTCTCATGACGTGTCGGCGAGCTTAGTTTTGATAATACAAATAATCCAAGCTCTAGAGTAATTTATTACAAAAAATAATATGCGCAACCAACTCATCTGCCTGGCACTGATGCTGTGCGCGTTACACAGCGCTAGCGGTTTGTACTTCCACATATCGGAAACGGAGCGCAAATGCTTTATCGAGGAGGTGCCCGATGAGACGACTGTGATTGGTAAGCAGCATCCAAAGCTGTGCAGCGACTAAGTGACTGAGCCTCTCTTGCTTTGCAGTTAACTACAAGGTGGAGCTGTATGATCCGCGCTCCAATGGCTTCATGCCCTCTTCCCCGGGCATTGGCATGCATGTGGAGGTGCGCGACAGTGATGACAAGGTGATTCTATCGCGTGTTTACAGCTCGCAGGGACGCATATCGTTCACATCGCACACGCCCGGAGAACATGTGATTTGCATGTACTCCAACAGCACTGCCTGGTTCAATGGCGCCCAGCTGCGCGTGCATCTGGACATACAGGTGGGCGAGCACGCCATCGACTATGCCAATGTGGCGCAGAAGGAGAAGTTAACCGAGCTGCAGCTGCGCATTCGCCAGCTCCTTGATCAGGTCCAACAGATCACCAAGGAGCAGAACTATCAGCGTTATCGCGAGGAGCGTTTCCGTCACACCAGCGAGAGCACAAATTCGCGTGTGCTGTGGTGGTCGCTGGCGCAGACAGTCGTCCTCGTCTGCATGGGTTTCTGGCAGATGCGGCATCTGAAGAGCTTCTTTGAGGCCAAAAAACTGGTGTGAGCTGGTGGGCACACATTCAGCACATTCAGGCGCTTAGTTACTGGTTGTTGGCCTTCATCTCGTTCTCTATGCAACCAAATTTGTCAATCGCGAATTTCATCGATGTATCATCCAGATCCGTTTTTAGTTTTAATTGTCTAGTTTGGTTTCATCTGTCGAACTAAATACCTTTTCTGCATAATTTAATAAAAATCCATTGTAAAATACGAATTGTCCCTCAGTGCGTATATATTTATATATATGTATATATCAATGTTGTTCCAGCATCCCTGTTGTTGCCGCTAGTCCCGTGACTCGATGTGCCTGACTGAGCGCGACTTGAACTTATCAGTTAGTGCGATTGCGGCGAGCACATGACATGCAAAGATAGAGATAACCTGCCTTAGTGCCAAGATGCATTTGTGTTTTGTTTTTACATTTATCGCAGTGTTTGCTCTTGATGAGTACTCGCAGTTTACGAAAGACGAGAATCGCCGGCATCGCGTCTTAGGCGTTTCAGTAGCGTCGGTGACTTACTACGCAACGGTTGTTGGCGTGGGTGCCGCTCTTCGAAAACATATTCAAATAAACAACAACAGTAATAGCGTTGTGAGGCATAATAAAACCGCAGTCGAACCGTAAAAGCTCTGGTAACTTGAGCTCCCCAAAAACCACAGAGAGGCACAGGCAAACAAGTTGCTCAGCAAGGCAGTTGACTTCGTTTACATTCACATTACCTTAAAAAAAATAAAACAAAACTATCTGGAAAATGTACCGCGCTACGGAAATTGGCAGCGAGGAAAGTAAGCTGTGGAGATTAGATAAGCGAGATATTCAAAAGATATGTGGTATCAACGGAATCTCTTTTCTCTTACAGCTTTGCCAGCACTGGCGGGACTCACACAGACATCGGCTGATTCCTTAACTGATTTCGGGGAATATGCTAAGCTGAGGAAACCCCGCAGCTCTCTTCCCAACTATGGATTCGCGCCCATATCCAATATACGCCTCGAGTACAAATATCCACGTGCCGTCTGCTTTATACTAGCAACCAAGTTCTTTGAGGCCTTTGCGGCAAATGGCATGCGCAGTAAGTGACTTAAACCGTATATAGAACGGTGACATACTTTATAAGCGGACAGGGAATGTAGTGCAGTTGCCTTAGATTGTCTACAGTAATCTGCCATTGTATTGTCGAAATATTCCAAAAGTATAGCTTATCAGTAAGCAGAGGTGCACACACAATGGGAGGTCTCATCGATAACTTACATATTCACATATTTACATGCATATATTTATGATCAGTCACCACAAGGTCTTTATTCTGATAAGTAGCATTTCCATTAAATATATAGGATCTATAGATTTCACTTGATTTTCTTAAAAAAACGATCTTTCTTTTGCTATATTTTATATATTTATATTTACAGTATATTTAAATGCTATCATTTACAGTATAAATATGTGTGTGATTGGGATGTTAAATAATATACTTAAATTTGTAATGACGATAATTTTAGATTGGTTAGATAGGTTTTCTATAATCAGTGGAGTGTTTATGGAGTTGGTTCGGAGGAATTCGCTTAAGTTTTCTCCTAAAAAGTAACTTGAAATGGGTAATTTTTGTGGTGAAAGTAAGTTGAAGTTGAATTTTACCAATGTGTTTTAATGCAATTTTGATCTACATGTATGTATAAATGTTTTCCTTACTAATGCTGGGACTTCAACCATAAGCCTTATTTATGGCATTGAGTCACAAATACCGATCAGCATCGTAATATTTGAGAGGTTCATTTGAATCCCAGACCACAGAAAATTATTATCCGCAATCCAAAAAAAAAATATTAATGATTAAACCACAATGATTTTTAATCACTAGCAAAAAAATCTCTGCAATCAATTTCTGTAATCTTGGAATAGAAATGATCTATTTATTGAATTTGATCTACTTTACAGCAATACTGGTGCTGTTTTTGCGCGATGATCTCACCTTTACGGAAAGCGAGTCCACGATTGTGCTGCACATTTTCAACTTCTTTGGACAATTCTGTCCGATTATTGGTGCCATCGTGGCAGATAGTTACATTGGCAATGTACGCACCATATCCGGATTTTCCTTTCTTTATGCCACTGGCTGGGTGCTGCTAACCATGACATCTGTGCCATATGCTGGCATGCCCGTCACAGCTTTGTGAGTAGGCATTTATTCAGCTATATCTATATAAATATATATTGGTTTATTCTCTACAGCTTGCTGATATCCATCTCCCTTATAGCTGTTGGCAATGGATCTGTGCGTGCTTGCATCACTTCCCTGGGCGCACTTCAGTTTAAGCTGCCCGAGCAGGCCGCTCAGTTGGCTGAATATTTCTCTTTCTATTATTTCGTCTACTATTTTGGCATATTTCTTAGTAAAATTCTGCCTCCAATGGTGCGTGCGAATACCCAGTGCTTTGAGAAGACCACCTGCTATCCAGCTGTATTTGGAACACTTTGCAGCGCCTTCATGGTTTCGTGGAGTGAGTAGATCTAAAACTATTTTACTACCATTTTGGCATCCTAAATTAAATTTCATTGTTTTTGCAGTCATCTTTCTGATTGGGAAATGCTTTTACAAGAAGGAAAAGCTATCCGGGGATAATATTCTTTTCAAGTTATGTGGCTGCATTAAGGTTGCACTGCTTCAGAAGTGGCGACGTCGCAACTCCGCCAAGCGTTGCAATTATTGGCTACACAATGCTGTCGGCTCATATGATGCACATTTTGTGGACGACGTATCCAAAGTCTTACGCGTGAGTACAATCAGCAAAAGGTACTTTGCTATGAGCGAACAACAAAATTGTATACATTCCTTACAGATTAGCAAGCTCTTTATTCCACTGCCCATTTACTTTGCCCTGCTCGCGCAGCAGGACTCTAGTTGGACCTTTCAGGCGACCATGATGAATACCACGGTGTTGGGTGTCACCATTGAACCGGATCAGGCGAAGGCAGTGGGTCCCATCTTTTTATTTATGCTCATTCCGCTTTGGCAATATGTGAGTGCTCCGTTATTGCGCCGATGGTTCCACTGGGAGCTGCAGCCGCTGCATAGCGTGACAGTTGGTGGAATTTGCTCAGCTGCCGCCTATTTTAGCGCCGGAGTCCTTCAGGCTCGCATTATGGTGAGTAAACTATTTGTACCATTTATTTGTCTACCATATCGATATTCATTTAATTTCTTTTAGGAATTACCCACTGGGAGCATCAATATTTCCTGGCAACTGCCTCAGTTCCTGCTACTTATGATGGGCGAATTACTGCTCTCGATTCCAGGACTGCAGTTTGCATTTACTCAGGCACCATCCTCGATGAAATCAGTGGTCACCGCCGCCTGGTTTTTGAATAATGCCTTTGGCAATCTTATTGTTGTGCTAGTCACCCAGTTGGATACATTCAACTCCCAAAAAGACGAGTATTTCTTCTATGCAGTGGTGATGCTGGTCTGCATCATTATCTTCGCCATGCTGGCCTATGATTACCGCTTGCAGGAGCGTAAGAGTAACTTCCATGCCAGGGACTTGGAGATCCTGCTACCCAACCTGCATGACAATGCGCCCAGTTCCAGTAGCCAGAGCGTCAGCGTATAATAAATAGCACTAGGAATTTTTCACTTTCAATTGATTTTGATATGTATTAAAAATCGAATTCGAACTGATAAATTAAAAAATGAGAGCACTTTGAATAAAAACGGGTCCGATTTTATTGAATTACTACGTACATGATTAATATTTATGTATGATGTATTATTAAAGAGCTCTCTTAATTTTAAGTATACCACACACTTTGTTAAGATTTTTAATGTATTGAATTGCCCAAGAAATGCAAAACTTATGTAGAACACATTGGAAAACATATTTTAATAAATCGAAAAAACAAAAAATAAAATAAAACGTGTTTTATTTGCTTTGATCTTGAAACTGTCAAAGAAATTGCTCACCAGTCGAGGATGATCAATAAAAGTGCATTCAAGAAATTTGTTTTAAGACAAGGAAAAGAATGCATAATGATGTTGACCACATTTTTCTGTACAAATTTAACTTCAGGCCGAAACGAAATGAGTCGGCTTATAAAATACTTTTTTAATATGGGCATCTTGACTTCATATATTCTCTGGTTAAATGACATAGCTTAATAAAAATGTCAGAAGTCAGCGACTGGCAGGATCGGACCTTTCCACTGAATGTTCTGCACAGACCATATAATTCGTTTAATGCCTAAACTAATCTCATATATAAATATGCTTAACGAAAAGTAGTCTAATCTTATGATTCGACAATTTTGATTTTAACTTAAGATCAGATACTTAACTCCCATTATATATCAAATAGATTATGAAGTTCGTAAGCCTAAATTAAGAGATCTTAGAATAATTTTCTTGATAATAACCTTAGATATATTTGAAGCAAGAGCTCTAACTAATTCTAGCACTTATTTATTAAATTTTGTTACAGTTTTCACTAAAATGATGGTGGCTCATTTAGCTGCACAGTAAATGCGAATAGTATTTGTAATTTCTTCACACACACGCACAAGCACAAGTCGAATGATGAAATGAACGAAACAGAAATGCTAATTCAAATCATTCGATTATCTTGAACATGTACTGCAGCTCGAGATTAACGTCATCGGCCAGATCAGTGCAGTGGACTCCATTTAGCACTTTAGAGATGCCAAATTTGGAGCGCAGTGTATGCGGCCGCAATAGTTTAGCAATTTCAGGATCCATCGGACCGCAAAAGCTGCGAAACTCCTGTTGTGATTGCTTATTCGGATCTTCGCTGACTACCTCTAGGCACATGCAAACGCCACTAGCGAGTTGGGCCACCATGGGTATAAACTCGGGCAAAACACCACGATAGACTTCGTAGAACTCCTCGCAATTAACACGCGCCATTAGAAGCATGCGCATAGCTGTTATCTTGAAGCCGGACGTAAGTATCTCGGTCAATATTTTGCCCAGATAGCCATCCTTGATGATGTGCGGCTTTATAATGGCCAGTGTGCTGTTCTTGAAACGGCAATCATTGATGATGCTGTTACGCTCCTCAAAAAAGAATTTCAAATCCTTGGCAACATTCTCTTCCTTCTCCGGGCAATAAAATCCATAGCGCACATCCTCGCGTTCAAACAGTTGCTGCATGCTGGGTGACAAAACAATCTTTGTTGAGGCATTCTCCGTATTGTATTTGGAACAGGCAGACATGATCTCTGCCACATTGTCGCCGATTAGCTCCAAACTAATTGCCGGTCCTGTCAGTAGCTCGTTCATGAGAACCCTGTAGTTTATTTGTAGTTATTTGTTATATAATTTTTGCTTTAGGTTTCAGTATACTCACGAGGTGTGCACATCATCGCCCTCTTTGCTAGCCAGAAACTGGGTGACTGTTTTCGGCGTAAACTGGACCATTAGCGCATTGTTAATATTGATCTTGTTATCAATCAACGTTGTGAGAAATTCGCCCAAATGTTTTGGCCACATACTACTCTTGAGCAGCACAAATCCACTGTGAAAAAGCATTCAAATAGAGTAAGTTTATATCTGAAGATATAATTGAGGCACCTTACCGCTTGCGGTATTTGGCCAAAGTGTTGCGTGTAACTTCGTCCGCATAATCAACGATATCGAAGGAACGCCCGAACACATTGATTTTGGAGCCCACAAAGAAATCGCGAAGCATCAGCTCGGGTATTTTAGTGCGACGCAAAAAGTTTTTATGGCTGCGCTGATCAAACTGCAGCGCGAATGTTTAGTTGCAAACGGTTTTCTTGTTATTAACAATAACTTACCACTTCGACGGCACCATCGCTTAAATGATATGTTAATAGATAAGTGCGAGTAATTCCCGCTTCAACGTGAAACCATTCGGCAATAAAGGCCAGTCTGCCATTTTGTGCGGCCATTATTTGTTTACTTGTATATAATTACAATTATAATGTGTATTTTATGCTGATGGCAGCTTTGAAATGAATGCTTTTACTTTGCATGTTTTGTTAGGGGCAACAAAATTTTAAAGCGTGCTTCTTCTTACCCGCGTTGTCAAAGCGACAGTGTTGCTTAAGTTGCCAAACGCACTGAGCTAAATTGAGCACACTATGTTCAATGTGTGAATGTCTGTGCGTGCACATAAATAAAAGTCGAGTATTTTATTTTTCGGTTTTTTTTATTTTAATTTCCTTTATTTACAGGAAACAAAAAATTAATAAATTGCAAATGAAACTTCGCAATGAATTGGTTGTAGCTTTGTCCAGTTGCTGTTGTGGCGAAAATCCAGCGTAAATTTGATGTTTGTAACTCTTGTTCCTTTTCTTTCTTTTTTTTTTGTTGCTAACAGATCGCATTTGCTGCTCAAGTTAATCAGTGTTGTGGAATAGTGTTAATGAACGCATGAGTGCGTGATTTCAGTGAGTGTGATTACGTGTGTTTGTGTGGGTGTATGTGTGTGACTTAACGTTATAAGGGCCTCGGCTAACGCTACGAATCTAGTACTCCAAAAAATGCCCGAATTAGCTAGCTACTTAAGCAGCTGGCTTCTTTGGCTCCTTGTCACCCTCCCCGCCCTCTTCCTCGTCCTCATCATTTTGCGACAGACTTGGTATATTATCATCAGAGTCGTCATCTTCGTCGAGATTGAAATCATCGAACTTGTTGTTCCAATCTCCTCCAACGTTGGAGAAGTTGCCGAACATGCCATTGTCCTTGGTATCGGCTAATAATTCAAAATTCAAGTAATGAGTTTTAAATTTAAATCACGAGTGCTTAAACAACTAACCTTCCTCATCGTCAGACTCATCGCGCCACTTAGCGAAATTGGCTTTCAGGAAATGCAATTTGGTCTTATCCGTGGTCAGAGTGGGCCAGTAGGGACCGCTTTCCTTCTTGGGTATTGTGAATTCCAGGCAACGACCGATATTCTTGTTTGTCACTTTCTCCGGGTCAACCGCTCCATAAAAGTTCAATGTGACTTCGTATTTCTTGGCCGCATCCAGCGCGTTTACGCCCTTGAAAGTGAAGCTATTGTCCGTCACTCTGCAAAACAGAAACCAATCATTTTAGACACTGCTGCTTTTATCATTTTTAATAGATATTGTTTTTATTCATTTTTTTTTTTACCAAGTTTGTAAACCTTACTTGTGTTCAATATCCTTGCATTCCACATCGATGATAACATAGATTAAGTCGGTGCGCTGAGCCCACGAAACTGGTGGCGGAATCGAACTGTAATGAGAAATGAAAGTATTTTTGATAAGATAAAGAAATGCCAACTTTCCGCAGACCGGCTTGGAAACACTATCGTCTCAAATTGACGCAAAATATCGTATCGATGGTTTTTGGTATCATAGCAACACCGGAATCGTTGTACGGCGGACGACTGCCAAAGTGCAAGCTTGTGCTAAATTATTCGTTTCATTTGCATACAATAAAAGTCGATGCTGTACAAATTTGAGCATTGGGGCACACTCCAAACAAAATTAGCGCCAACTTTAACATAACCTCAAATGTCAGTGACTTTTTGATGGCACCGCGTACTGTCTGTCCAAAAATACAAATGCATTTGCGCATGAGACACACCCAGCGCAATGGCACTTGAGATGCGTATAGCAGTCGAAAATTAACATAAAGTGCAGCAGCTCAAGCGGCAATGCAATTTGCAGAAAATAGACGCCGCTAATGTCCCCACATCGAAAAAGCACGCTTCGCACAAAGAAGCCACAAAAAGAAGAGGCAGCAACACAGATTGAGGCAGCAATTCTGCATTGCTTGTGTTAGTACTTACCTTGTTGCCGACATTTTATTGTTGATGCTTGGGTTAGACGTAATTAATGAAGCCGCGGTCACTGCTCGCAATCCTTTTTCAAACAGAAAATGCGATTTTCAACCGAAATGTTGGGCACAAAATGAGAATGATTGCTCTGTTAGTCACACAGTGTTCGAGAACATTCGTCTGAGCAACCGACTGACAGTTAACGCACTGCACAGCACTGTTTCGATAATAATTGACCAGCCCTCTTAGCAATACAAAGTCGACTATCGATAAGCGAAATTTCTCAGTTCTACTGCTCAACACTAGCTATTCATCTGTCATCTGTGTGAAAAAGTAGCAAGAACAAGAGCTAAAAAGTGAGTCGAAGCTGTTACTTAACCAACATTTTTGCACAATTAAACATTGTTTTATTTGGTATTTCTTCTGACATAGCCATGTTGCGCATTACAGCCGGTAAAGTCGCTAGTGCCATGCGTGGCAGCCTTGGAGTGACATCCACCCGTGTCATCGCTGTGCGCCAGCACGGTACCGAGGAATCGGCCGAGGCATTCGATTCCCGTTACGAGAAATATTTTGCCCGCGACGGCATCGATGGCTGGGAGATACGCAAGGGCATGAACGACTTGCTCGGCATGGATTTGGTGCCCAGCCCCAAGGTGATTGAGTCTGGACTGCGAGCCTGCCGTCGCGTCAACGACATTGCCCTGGCCATTAGGTGGCTGGAGGGCTGCAAGGACAAGTGCGGCGACCAGAAGGCCACTATTTATCCCTACTTGCTGGAGAAGATCTCGCCGACCTTGAAAGAGCTGGGTGTGCCGACCATTGAGGAGATAGGCTACGACAAGCCCGAATTGGCTCTGAAGTCCGTTTATGATATCTAAAGCGAACGTTTTCCTTTAGTTTAATTAACACATACACACAAACACAAGAAGCAGACATACAAAACAGATAATCGAGTTCAATTCACTTGCTGCGGATGAACATGTTATTGGATTGCAAATAAAAAGGAGATTGGAGTAAGGCCACCACACAAAAATCATATCGATTTGTTTTCCCTATTTGTTTTTTTTGGGTTATGTAAGAGAGTCGGGTGCAGGTTATGCTTCCGCGTACACGTTCAAACATGAATGATGAATGATTAAGACATTGCGCGACTCTCACAACAAATTCAAAACAAATTCGTTTATTTGCCATAACAATTAAATGCGTAGTTATACTACATATAAAAACACATGCATACGCTTTATTTCCACTGCTTGAGCAGCTCGGCTGCCTTGTCGAGATTGGCCTGCTTCTTGATGAAACAGTAGCGCACAAAGTCCTCGCCCAGATGCTTGTTGGACTCACTGTAAAAGGCACTTGGTGGAATGCCCTGCAAGCCCATGTTCTTTGTCATCCACTTGGTGAACTTGTAGTCACGATACTTGTCCGGCTCCGCGCTCAGATCGACCTTGTGGGCAAGCGGCGACCAATCCGCCATCATGAAATAGCCGCCCTCTGGAATTGTGGGACGCATGCCCGCCTCGCTCAGGAACTCGGCCATGAAGTCTCTTTTTGGCTGCAGCTCACGCGGCAAGCTGAGGAAGTAACTTTCCGGCTTGCCCAGACGTGCCAACTCCACCTCAAAGCTGCGCGCCACGCCCTCCTGCAGTGGTGTTGGGCATGTATAAACCGAATTTTGATGAACCATTTGAAGGTTGCGTATCAGCTGATGCGGCCCATAAGCCCATCCAATCTTCCAGCCCGTCACCGAAAAGGTTTTGCCTGCCGAGCCAATGGTTATTGTGCGATCCCACATGCCGGGCAGGGTGCAAATGCGCACATGCTCGACGCCATCGAATACAAGCCACTCGTAAACCTCATCCGAGACGCAGAGCACGTTCCACTTGCAGCACAGCTCAGCAATTCGTTCCAGCTCATTGCGATGGAAAACCTTGCCGGTGGGATTGTGTGGCGTATTCAGTATAATCATTTTCGTCTTCTCATTGAAGAGCTTCTCCAGTTCAGCATCGTCCAAAACCCAGTCAGCCGAACTAATGGGGCCATCTTTCTCACGCTGCGGGGGTGGTGAGATATGTGTTTTAAAAATGAACACAAACTGAATGCAAATATTCAGCTTACCAATTTAAGAGGAATGAAGCGAGCCACGCCATTCGCCATTTTTACCATGGGCTCATAGCAGTCGAAGAAGGGTTCAATAATGATGACTTCGTCGCCATCGTCGACATGGCCCAATATTGTGGAGTAGAGTGCCTCGTAGGCACCAGATGTAATCAATATATCACTCAGCGGATTCAATTCTCTGCCAATTAGACCACTGTAGAGTTTGGACAGCGCCTGCACCAACCGCACATGACCCTAAAAACAAAGGGATATCGTTAATTGTAAAGCAAACAGCCTCTAATTGCTTCCTTTCTTAAGAAGTGTATAGCGTGTCTCTCATTGCAGAAACATCAAATCACATATGTAGCTGGCCGAGGATGTCAAGGTAGTATCTTGATCAAACTTGCCGACAAATAACTGACAATGGAACAATATTTAAGTTCTGAGATATATCTCTTTTAAAAATATTAGTGTCTGAAAGGGTATTTAACCGTCGGCACGCCGAAAACAACTGTTCTCAATGGTATGCATAGGATTCCTTACGTTGCCTCTGGTGTACTGATGCAGAAGATAATTCTCGTCCCTGGCAATATCTGCCAGCGCACTGGTCACATATTCCGGTGCAGCATCATCTGGGAATCCTTGGCCCAGATTCAGGGGTTTGTACTGCATGGCCAGCGTAATATATTCGTTCCACACGCTGGGTGTACTGCCCTGCAAACGCTTGGGCAAGTCAAACTTATCCATGCTGTTTTGTGCAGCAGTCAACTTGGAGCTGTACTTTTGCCGCTGGTCCAATGAGTTTACAAATATATTGAGGCGAGGGAGGACGCACACACGTCGACAGTTTCTGAGCATCTGAAAGAGAAATAGTTGTGCAAAATATGTTTAGTAGAGTAACCGGATATTATTTTAATTAGTTTTCTACCACACGTACTATGAGTGTGTGCCTGTTTGTGTGTGCGATATCACAGTTAGTTAAATGCAATCGTTTATAGACAACAGAAGTGTAATTTAGAGCTTAGACTGAATTTGTGCAGCGATATGACGTTGCATAATGGAATTATTGAAGCAACAAGACAACAACGATTCTCCGTAAAACCTAATTTGTTTATATACTCACTCACACACACGCAAACAGTACTCAACGAAAAGACACTCGCGATTCTGCGATTCTCTTGCAAATGGGATACAATTTAACACTTGCTGTGTTTTTAAACTTTTATGGAGCAGATAATAGTAACCACAGAAAACCACAAGTGCTGTTTAATCCCAATTTATTGTATTAATAAAATTAAAAACAAAACGCTCACCACAAGAACATTGGCGCCTTATCTGTGTTAAATTCTTCTTCCTTGTATTTTGTCAATCGCTCTGGTCAAACAGCTGTGCTGTTATCAGTGTTGGTTAATGTTTGTTTTCGGGGCTGCAAAACAATACTGCCGTTTGCCGCGCACTCAAACGCTTCAAACAAACTGTTCCACCTTCAGCTTTTCTCGATGGTAGATTTCAATAATAACAACACTGTTCATTTTCAAAGTTTATTTATAAAAACTGCGGGTTAATTACAGAAAATTAAAGTGAAAATCATTTTAAAAGTACAATTGATAATTGACAAATGATTAATAACATTTATAAGTATTTTTAACATAGGTGTAAGTTATATGTATGCATGTAAGTACGTCATATGTTATACAGGTTGAAGTTTTTTTGTTTTAATATATGTTTGTATTTGCATCAATATTCGTTTGCTTGAGTTTTAACAAAGTAAAGCTACTAAACTTAAATCACAGATAACACTAACGTGTTTGTTACAATATATGTATGTAAGTAAGTATTGTTTATATAGTGACGAAATTATTGGCTGTTTGCCCATTTGAAATCATAGAACGCATAACAAGACGGCTTAAGTGCTACTTAGAAAATCGCTAGCATTATTGCTGTATTTGCATGTAATCAACTTTGCCACACTTGTTGTTGTTATATTTCCTTAAATGCAACAATTCACTTATATACTATCAAACAATAAGTTTGTGAGTGTGTGTGTGTGTGTTTTAAGTAGAGTTAACGGAAAAAGTTTCTCCTTTAAGTGATATGCACTCGTCGCCGACGTCGTTCCCTGTGAATGGCACAAATTTGCGCGAATGGCAATGAAAAAAAACACGAAACTGTACTTAGTTCTGTTGCTACTGTTTCTGATATGGACGTGGGGTTGGTTGGATTGCCGCTGTGCATGCTTAGACATGCACCTCCGGGCAATCCTCATCCTTAATCGAAGTATACTGCACTTTCTTGGCCACGTTGTCGAACACCGGTGTCATCATATACTTCAATTTATCGCGACTGACATAGACTAGGGCAATCAGCAAACCCAGCAGGATCATGCTGAGCACAATTAGCAGAAAGATTAGGGTGGCCGTGTGTCCACTGAGGTGCGGCTGCAGCTGACCGTAGAGCTGCTCATCCTCGGCGATGTTGAGGAATGAGGCAGCTGCTGCCATCTCGGCCGCACACTCGCCCATGTCCAGCTTTAGAAGGTGCGCCTGCGCCGGATCAACGTGCTGTGGGTCGAGGAAGCACATGATGCTATCCTGATTGCGTACCTGCACCCGTGTCGCCTGCAACCACGTGCGGAACGGTGATATTTTGCAATCGCACACAAACGGATTCAGATTGAAGTCGACAATTAGCTTAACGGTGCGATTCTCGCGGTCCTGAAGCTCGTTCAAGACATGCATATCGCTGGGCTTAACAAACTCGAACTTGTTGCGCTCCAGATCGAGAAAGCGCAGATTATTCAAGCAGCGCACCTCAAAGTTGATGTCCTTCAGCAGATTATCGCCCAAGTGCAGATCGCGCAGCGCTGGCAAGTCACAAAATACATTGCGATCCTTAAAGTGGGTAATCTCATTCTGCTCCAGATGCAGTTTCTGCAGCTTCACCAGCTGACTGTTCACAAAGATATCATGCAGATCCTCACTGAGCTGTGGTGAGCTGTGATCCTCAAAGGCATCGGTTAGATGGAGACTCTGCAAATTGCCAAAGTTTGAGAAGACGCGCGGATGATGATGATTCACCTCGTCATCGTAGCGGGAAATACTCAAATTGTTGTGGTTGAGGATGAGACGCTCCACGCGTGGCACATGATGATAGCTCTTGCCGCGTATCTCGCGTATGTGATTGCTGCTCATGTCGACGATCTTCAGCTGCTTGTAGTCATTGATGCTACCAAAGACGTTCCACGGCAGCTCGGTAATAAAGTTGCCCGTAAAGATGAGTATCTCCACCTGCTCGGGCATAAACTCCAGCACGCTGGTATTGCGCAGTCCCGCATTCGTGCAGTTCACAATGAACTGGTCAGTGCCCTCGTACATCTCCTTGCCGCAGGAGCAAGCAACGGGAAAGTTGGGTCCGCAACTCGATGAGCTCTCGGCACCGCTCAGCGATAGCGCTGCGCTCATTGCTAGCAACGCCACGACCAGCATTTGAGGTTGCATCTGCGGTTCGTTTGCCATCGTTTTTACTCCTGCTATCAGATAGCGTTCCTGCAATTAATACAAGAAATACAATGTTTTATTAGCTTCAAATTCATTCATTTAATTTCGGGCAAACCAAAATTCGAAAAACACAGACACCTAAAATGCAGTTACCCAACCACTGGACTAACCACCAGTGCTGGCAGCACTCCCACTTTTTCTTTCTTTTCTGGTTAGACAATTTAATTATAACATTTTGAAATATGAAGTCATATTTATGCAAATCACACAGATTTACTTTTCATGTTTTATGTAAATTGCAACCCAATTTCAGAATACTTTAATAGAGAAAACATATCCAAAAACCAAAAACAAAAATAACACCTTAAATTTATACTAGTTTTCTATTAACAAAAATGACAAATTTCTTAAGATTGGATGGTATAAAAAATAATAAAAATGGAAATTTTAGATTTCTTTGCCAATATTTTCAGCAAGATAAAATTGATATTGTTTTAAGTTTGCGTTTACGTTAAATTTTTTTCTTAGCAGTATTTATTCAAAATTTGACAGCACTACTGAATGGTGTCTGCTACCTGCCGTGTTGCAGTCTCTCTTGGAGGCAGATTTATGATTCACAGTCTGCAGATTTATGGGTTTATGAAAGGCTAAACGTTGCTCAACAGAAAGCGGTCGCAACCGCCTCAACCAGACCGCAGCAGCGCATTCAAACACATATATTTTCCACCTTCCACTCCTCCCACGGTGAAATTCAGATAGTCTCCATTTGCAACCCCGCGGCCAATCAACGACACCCACGGCGTATGGGTAATTTCTGTTTAGTGCCAAAGTTTTCGGTAGCGCCAGCCACAATAAACGCCAAAAGGGCACTCAAGCGAACTGACGAGGTATCCACATAAAGTTCAATTCCCCCCTCCTCGACTCTCTGCCTGTTACCTCTGCTGCTGAATATTCAACTGCCTGCAGCAGTAAACCATATTATTTTTGGGCTTTTATTGCTATTTGTTTAGCATCGAGTAAACGCAAACTGAGCTATTGAAGGGCCCAAAAAACACTTTTAAAGCTGAAGAAAAATAATGCGCTTAAGAGAGCTCCGTAAATTGTTGTGTATTAAACAATAAGAAATGTATTTCTTTTTTTAGTGACACTTAAAAGTATCAATTCAACAAGCTTTTTTATAATGTGTGTTAAGGTAAATAATAATACAAAGACATTTAGCTTTAAGTCTAATGTGGAAATTAGAATTCTGACCATTATTGTGCTTCATTTACAACATGTGTTAAACAACAGCTGCCGAGGCCTTTAACCCAATTTAAATGTTATGTTTACTGTTATTTTCTAATAAACGCATTTGTTTTTATGTTTGTGCTGATAATTGTTTTAGCATATATTATTATTTATAATCAATTATAGCTTATATTTACTCTGATAATTAAAAGTTACTCTCCGATAGGGGATAAATATTTATGTCAAATTTGATTTCCATAGCACAAAATATGTTGCTCGTCTGCTGGTTTTAAAAATTGATTTGCAACAGAGATTTAAAAACATATTATGTACATTTATGAAACTTTATTCATTTTTGTTGGTTATGCAAACAGCCGCAATAAAATGTTTTTTGTTGGTTCGAAGTGCATTATTCTGCTTGTGGTATGAATAGGTTTTAAAATATAAGAAAAGTCTGGTTGTTTGTTGGCTTGAATATCTCTGCTATACATTCAGCACAACTCACGAGTTTGGCAAATTTTAATTACAGCTTCGTTGTATAGTAATTACAACCATAAAAAATACATTTTAGCTTGTATTTCGAAATCACACTCCTCTTTTATTGATACAAATACCTAAATATGTATCAAGCAAAATTTTTAATTTGACCAACTTTGTATGCCTGCTATAAAGCTGGCAGCGATATAACTGACTGACAGAGATATTTTCCGTTTTCCAGTTTCCATTGATTACCATATTTTGTGCCCACTCTTGTGCGGCTCAATTAGTCGCTCTTGTCGACTGCCACATCTCGGGATTGTCTCGATAGTGGTGTATGTCATTTGCCATGCTGTGTCCAGCTGTGGCCTGTGTATGTCCAATGCTAATGAGCGAATATTGAATCGAACCCGGAGCTAAATTGAAAGCTAACGACAATTTAATAGTCCCCTTTCTCGCCAGTGCTGCCAGCCAATTACCGCTGCTGGCCAATATGCTGCAGCTGAAAACCAATTTCAGCTAACACGGGTCGCGCACCAATTGACACTTTAATGTCAGGCAAACGGCTCAGGTACAAAAGAAAATATAACAAAATTACTGCTGAAAAAATCGAGCTTAAAGCAGAGTAAGAAGCGAGTGTCAATTTGACGTTAACCAACACCCAAGCGGACACACTGGCAGTTGCTACAGTTCGTCTATTGTTTTTACACACTTTTCACCATCCGTTCACCTGCATTTTGCCAGTGTTATTGATGTTGTTGTTGTTGTTGAAAAACAAGCTAGGCATAAACGCTATTTTGGTGCACAACACAAAGCAACAAAAGAAAGCACGAAACAAAAAAATTGTATAAAGCCAAACAAAATGGCGGACGACGGTGCACTTGAACCAAAGCTTGAGCGATTATTGTGTGCATGTGTGGGTGGTTGGTTGTGTGTGACTGTGTGTGAGTGTGTTTGCCACTTTCTGTTTGGTTGCCTAACAAGCCAAAAACACTAACACACACACACACACACAATCACACACACAAATACAGTTATGCATTTTGCTGCACATGCTTAAAATTTAACTCGCGTATGCTTTTCGTTACGTTGCAACATATACGACTGCAGTGTGAGTGTGTGTAAGTTAACCGTTGCAATAATATTCCACTTGCTTCCCTCTATTGTATATTTTGTTACCTTTGTTAACACCCCACCCCATCACAGAAAAAAAAAAAAAAATACTTCCGTGCAAATGTTTCCTTTCCTTAACTGCGCTCGCTTTTTTATAATTTTTCGTTGATGGATGGGTTTGTAATTTTAATTGCGACCCCTAACATCTTTTGTAGCCATTTCACAACTTGATATTTGTTGCTACACATATTTTGATCATTTTTTTGGCTAACACTCTATATTTTAAATAACTCTTATTGTATTATTTAGTGGTAGGGTATTTGAACTTCGTTATGTAAAAGCAATTACTTTGCATTTTGGTTGTTTTTTGCATTATTTTTATGCAAGCACTCCATCTCTCTTCAGATTATACATGCGCGTAACATAATAATAATAATAATAATAACAAGCACAAGCGAAAAAGGAAAATAAAATAAAAGTAAGTTTTGTATGTTGTGTTTGGCATTCGCATAACGGTTCTCTCTCTTATATTTTGTTAGTCACAAAGTGCCGGGCACTCAACAATTGCATGGAGGCGCCTCCAGTGACGGCAGTGTAGCAAGTGGCAATGGGTTTGCGGGACAAAGGAGCAGCAGCCTCTCAGAGGTGTATGAAATGCTGGCGGGGAAGAAAATGGCAATGCAAATGGCAGCCGTGTACAGTTGGGCAAAGGTAGTGGTAGTGGTGGGCACTCAATTTGTAACACGCGATGAAGGAGCGCCTCAGTGCAGTCTAATTAGAGCATACATGCAAGTAGAGAGAGAAAGAGAGAAAGACACACAGAGAGAGAGAGAGGCGAGGGTATCATACAGGATTGCCAGCTGAGCCAAAATTGTAGAGCAGTTGCAGATAAGGCACATGCGGTTTGTATCATTAAGCACAAGCAGTTTGCATAGTTGCATTCGACTACAATTACGTTCTGGATGAGCAGTTGAATGTGCAACGAATGTGGAACAGATAGTAGAGTGTTCCTCGTCCTATCTAGCATCCAGGACATCCACCATAGACAGTGGATGTAACTTTATTAGAAAACATATACCAATAAAATCACTCTTATTATTTGGGAGAGTTTTAGATTACTAATACTCTAACTTATACTATTCATTGTATTATTATTCGTATATATATAATAAATAAAACTGTGTCATAGTTTCACTTTTTGTTCTAATTATACCCCGAAACCATTAAAAATGGCTAAAAAGAGTATAATGGTTTTGTGCAAATGCTTGTAACAGGCAAAAGGAAGCATCTTCGACCCCATAAAGTATATATATTCTTGATCATGATCAACAACCGAGTCGATATAGCTATGTCCATCCGACCGTCTATATGAACACGCAGATCTCAGAGACTATAAGAGCTAGAGACTTCAAATTTGGAATATAGGTTTTCGTATACCAGGCACAGATCAAGTTTGGTTTATTTGATCGATAACTACCTCCGTTTCTCGATTATCGATAAATTTAAAATTCCGATAGCAATAAATGCTATAATTTTAAAGGCATCATCTTCTAATTAGTATATAATATGCATATGCATATTATTGATCAATTGCACAAATTTCATAAATCGGATAAGAAAGACCCAAGTTGTTGTCGAAAATATGTTCTCATATTGATCTCATTTCTATCAGCAGCCGCAAGCATGGCTTGCAGACTTGCTCACATTTTGGTGCAATACTTTTAAAAGGAAATTTTCCACTAAATCTAGAATATATTTAACAACTGGGTTTAGGGTAAATCGTGGTCGAGCTCACTCGACTACATCACTCTTATTTGTTTTCTTGAGAATTCATTGCCCACTTTTGTGGCAATCATATACCAAAGTTGCGGCCAAGTCACGCCTTGCGTTACAGTTTGCTAGTGCTACAAATCGTTGTTAAATGGGAATCGTAAGCTGAAGCTTGACAAATCAGTTTGGCAGAGGCTGCGGCAAGTTCGCGTTGCCAACTGCATTACGCTAAATTGCTGAGAAAGTACGGAAATGCTAATGCGGCCAACAAGGGTTTAATGTCTTGGCACTGCAGTCGTTAAGCAAAAAAGTTTTTAAGCTTTTTGGCCACCGCAAAGAAAGCAACCGAACTTGCTGCTGGCCATGTGGCAAAGTGGCCAAGTGGCAACTAACTTACCATAAATTATGTGGTCATAAAGCGGCGCATGCGTGTTTTAAAATTACAATTTCTTTTGTTCGCC